TGTGTGTGCGTGTGTATGTATATATATATATATAAAACCATCCCCACCCATATATCCATCCTTCCTAAAATTTTTATTCTTTTTCATAATTCTGAGATCTGGTTGAGGCATGTTCCTAAATTACACAGAAAACATCAGAACTCATGGCCGGTTAGCTCAGTTGGTTAGAGCGTGGTGCTAATAACGCCAAGGTCGCGGGTTCGATCCCCGTACGGGCCAATTAAGTTTTTTTTTCTTTTGATGGATTTTGATTCATTATATGCAGTGAATTTTATTTACAGATGTCCCAATATATGTATAAAGATGCTAAATAAATTAACAATAACACTCAAAGCACAGACGTTGCTTTATCAATATTAAATCAAAACTATTTGTTGAAAACAGCCACAACATCGCTACAGCCCGTCATATTCTATGACTACAAAATAACAACTCCTCCACGCGGTGCATCAACTGGTTCCATGGTGTAATGGTTAGCACTCTGGACTCTGAATCCAGCGATCCGAGTTCAAATCTCGGTGGAACCTGAGTTTTCTTTATTTTATTTGTTATTCGCTTCAACAAACAGCTTTGATGTAAGTTTCAACATATACCTTCATTTTTGCAACAGCTTTCCTTTCAYCCAAACATGAGCTGCTCGTCCTCGTCATTAACCTTATACATAACCTGTATTCAGTCAGTTAAAAGCACAATTATCAGTCTTAATTTCAACACAAAATTGAGGAGATCTAAAAATATATTTATTTGGTTGATGTTGTGTTTATATTTTATTAAAATTATATGTTTTTAACAGATTTCTCTTCCTTGATGTCTTCAGATATTCAATGGGTTATTTTTTCTGCCGTTTCTTGGATGTTGCTGCCCCCTTCTGGTCAGAGTTGGATCCTGATTTTCTAAACAAATAAAAATAGAAGTTAGAAATAGGGATTATTCTTTTAAAACCAGTGTAATAAATGATGTGCTTACTTTGCTTTTGCTTTTTTTGTTGTCTCGGGATAAAGTATGACCACCTCCTCTTCTTCACTGTCAGATATCTCAACTACAGCTGCTGTAAGACGAAACAATTTCCCTATTTATACGTTCTCAAAGCAGTTTTTTTGTCTACAAATTTTACATTATACAAAAAAAAAACCTTTTGGTGTCTTGTCTTTTGCTTGCTGTTCTTCCTCCATCTTTACCACTTCTTCCTCTCCATTGCTTTCTTCCTCCTGCTCCTCATCCTCCTCCAGCCCCCAGGTGCTCAGCTGACCCTGTCCTATCTGTCCCACACCTGGTACTGGTACCACAGGTGACGGCACCCTGGTGTGTGTGTGTGGTTAAGGCAGCTAACTGGTTAAAAAAAACAAACAAAAAAAAAAAAACAATAAACGGTCTGTGTCATCCCTAACGCTCAGTTCAGGATACGTTGGAGGCGGGGCTTCTGCGTTCTGAAGGATGTCGCTGGCTCTTTCGCTCACGTCTGTCATCTCCACCTCAGTCTGGTCCGTTTTCAGAGCGGTGATTCGTTCCTGAGGCATGGACTCTGCAAAACCACACTTGCTGCCTGCCTTCCTGTGAAGTTTAAAAACACAGGACAATGGTTTAATTTAGACAGATAAAAGTTAAAATAATCAGAATATGAGTGCGACAGTGCAGGTGCCAAAGAGGTTCTATAGAACAGCTGGAGAGGCAAAAACAAGGTGACCGTGTGATCAGCAGGTGAAGCTAACGGCTAACACTAAACGGTCAAGAGTCAGGATTTCCCATCACTGTACATGTTGACAACAGAGCAGAAAAAAAGGACTGACGATGTAGAAATCATAAAAACNTGTCGTTCATCAGGGCTTTGTTGATGAGCTCTGTGATTTCAGACACCTTCACGCTGGCTATTTTACTGCATCTCATAACCTTCAACAAGACAGGAAAAAATATTGTGAATTTAGAATATTACCTTTTATTCCTGAGAACTTCATTAAAATTGTATTTTTTATTTAGTTTTTCACCTGTTCTTTGAGCAGCATGATGCCCCCGCTGGACTGGATGGAGCAGATCTCTCTGTGTTTGTTCATGGCGATCATCAGTAAGCCGTCCATCACTTGCTCCTCCCGCTCGCACGGGTCCACCAGCAGGAAGGTTCTGCAAGAGACGATTGCGTGACTAACTGTCATCCAATCAKCGAGGAGGAATAATTATGATCAATTTGTCTTTGTTTGTTTGTCTGTTAGCAAAATATCTCATGACCCTGAAGAGTTTAATTGAAGTCTTCGATCATAATCAACGGCTGCCACGGATAATCCATCGTAGCAGCTAAAACTGCTGGAGCTCTGAGCTAAACTTGGGTGTGACAGTAGCTGAGAGTCATCCCAAACAGACACTCTGAGCTCTGACAGATCTTTACTCAAACCTGTGAGGTCAGGTTCAGGTGTGGACGCTCACCCCTGCTGGAAGAAGGCGAAGCTGATGCTGATGGGCATGTGGTAGATACTCAGAGGAATGGGATCTCTCTCCTCTGCACTGAACTGAGGAGATTAAAAAAAAAAAGTGGTGTGAAAGAAGGCGGGGCTTAAAACAGCTCCTCCGTGGGGTCGCAGCTGCTCACTCACCACCGTCACCTCCTCCCCCTGGACCCCCACGTCAGGTCGCCTGAAGTGGCTCAGAGCGGCGATGGCGGCGATGCTGGCAGCATCCATCAGGTTCCCGTCGTTGTTCAGCGTGTGAACGTCCACTCTGATCTTCCACACCTGATCGCACCATCATCATCATCATCATCATCAGATTAAACATTATTTGCTAAATAAAAAGGATTTTATTTAAACTTCATAAACTGCAGCTGTCTGCGTCACCTTCTCTCCGGACACCACACACAGGGACTCGGTGTCGATGCACCTGGAGTTCCTCAGACATCTCTCCAGCTGTCGGTTCAGCTTCACCGACAGCTCCGACGGTCTGCAGGGAGACAAAGTCCCACGCATGATTTTCCTGCTCTGACAGGTGAGCCGAACATTAAAACGGGACGAAACCCCGCCCAGCCGAAGCACCCGGGCTCACCTGCCCTGCTCGAACGCCGGCGAGGCCATCGGTGACAGCTCAATGTTGAAGATCATGATCCCCTCGTTCGGACGGTTCTCTTTAGGCACCACCAGCTCGCAGGACACGTGGGCCACGACCCTGAGAGGTGCAAAAACAAAACTGCGTCATCTGGACGGGTTCCATTAAAGTAAATCATTTAACCTCTTCAGACTCAAGGAGTTTTCTTCATATTTTTGCTCAAAATCCCATGCTGAAATGTAACTGAGT